GTAGACAAGTCACAGGGGCAGACATTCGAAAGATGTGGATTATTGTTAGATACAGCAGACTGCTTCTCTCGCGGACAGTTTTACGCCGCATGTTCACGAGTGACAAAGTGAGACTCTCTGCTCATCTATACTGGAACTACTAAGGAAAACGGCAAAATGGCCACGAGTTGTTTCTAGACAAAATCACAACAGCAGAAGTGAACTTGAAGATAACACCTGACTTCTCTGAAGGAGAGGTGGAGCACGGAAAAATTACTAGAGGCAATTAAGAGGATTTTACCGGACTACGACACTGAAGATTCACTGGAGGAACTTAAATAATACACTTTGAAAACTCGATAAGAACAACGAGAAACGCGAGATCTTCGCCATGATTAAGAGGATGAGTGATGAAGACAGCGACGAACTTCGTAGATCTCCTAAACGCCGATTCGACGCAAAAAAGGACTATGATGGAGAAGAATCTGATGAAAGCGAACCGTCTAAGAAACAATATAAATGTATGCTTTTAGAGAAATAAACCACTATTTGTATAACGCCTTTTTTATTTCACACGTGTTAATATTGTATTACATAAGGGCAAGGCCCTAAGGGCGCGAAGCTCCCGCGAGCGAGCGAGGCCGCAGGCCAAACAACTTGGTGTAGCCAGATGCGGCGCAGCCGCTGCTTGTAATAAAAATGAAAAATAATTATAATGATAATAATTGCTAGCGGGCACTTCAACATTTGAAGATATTTCAAGCAAAAAAAAAAAAAAAAAAAAGGAATGAGGAAGTTATAGAATGAAATGAGTATCTCAATCAGAGCTAGTAAATATCCCAACTTTGACGGTTCTTTTCTAGCATAAGGTAAATGATGTTAATTATATCTATAATTACCATCATTTCCCATCATGTCGTTATTACTTGATATGTTTGTGAATATGTTTTAATCTCCTTGCCAATTCTCTTTTCAAAACTTATTTGCATTTCGTTCTTAATCCGTGACTTTATTCTGACATCCATAAGGCTTTCAAAACAAGGATATAGAATTATTTCAGCTTTTTAAATAAAGTCGCATCATATTCACTTTATTATTGCAAATCGAAGATAAAATAACACTTATAATGGTATGGCGTTCATGATTATGATACAAACATATAAGAAACAAAACTATTTTGACTCAGGAAATGACCTTGGGGATAATGAGGCAAATGTTTTTTTTTATTTTTCTCAGAAGGTGTAATCATAAGCTAAAAGATGAAAAAAACAAAAGAAAAAATACTTATACTTATATTCAAGTATATTGAATTCTACAAATCAACCAACCAACCCATGCTCCAAACAGTCAAATTACACTCGCTGTTTTTACTCAGCAGTTCATAGTTTTACAAACCTTCACATAGAAACTTCGTAGATAATGGAGCATTTACAGCGTAGATATTTTGAAGTAAATTGTACAAACTGAAGAAGTCAAACTAGATGCCCTTTCCAAACGCCATTTTTAGGGATTTAGTAGCATGTGAGGTACGTAATTTTGGGGTCAGAGGTGTATTACTGAATTATCCATGTTTAACCGCCATTGGTCCATCAGAGCGGATAATCGGAAGGTGGAGAATCAATGATAACAATAGTTACAACAACAACAATGGCTTAGATGGTATTTTCTTTATAAGGACTTTTATCTGGTAGGTAGAGATTGCGGCCGGGCTCGAACCACTATACCACAGCAGCCCCCTAATAAAATAAATAGGATAATGATGATGTTGAATAGTGAGAATAAAAAGAAGCAGAGAGAAAGATGCTATAACATTAACAAAGACAAAGACACATACCAGCGAATGTATTAAGAATAAAAGAAAATTTAGTGAAAAAACAAGCCTTCCTTCCCCTTGAAACTTGCTTTGCCATCCCTTTTCTCTCTAACCCTGGAACCAGCTGCGGCTCTACTAGCAACACCAACTCCAGTAACAATACTAGCTTCAGTAGCAGCACCATCAATTAATGATTGTTTCCAAACCTTGCAAAGTGCTAATGCCAAATACAATTACTTTTCTGCCGAGCTGAGTGCCATTGCCCAACTTTTTAAGACCCTGAAAGCTAAATACATCAAATGCAAAAACTTAACCTCGTACATGCATATAGCGTGTATCATTAAGATGATAACACGGATATAAGGTTCCAGTTAACTAAAGTTGTCAAGGCATCATCATTAGTATCCTGCTTTCTTCCTTCTATTTCATATATAACAAGATATTTTCATGCTAAAGACATTCTTTAAAGTCAGCTCATATAATAGACTGGTTTATTCTGTGCCTGTGGCGGAAATCCTGTGTTGCATTAATTCACACACACACAAAAAAACACATGAAAATGATTTATTCTTTGTCGATCCCATCGGAATGTTAGACACTTTAGTCAAAATATCCGTCTTAGTTTTTAAAACGACTAACCCTTTTTGTATTGCCAAATATGATAAATTTGACACTGATACTAGCAGAGCAGCACCTGCCCCAGCTCTA